CGCTCCCAGAGCTCCAAGCCTTGGTATTAAAGCTTTGAACAACAGCTTCATCAATATAATCATCACTCATTTATAACTTCAGACCCTTATAAACATCACTCGGAAGTTTCATCTTGAACTATCCTCTATCACGATAAATATAACTGCCAAGCTAAGCTTGGTGGTCTTGTTGTTCTGATAGCATAGAAGGGCAGAGCTTGCAACTCCATCATCCCCTTCTCCATTCAGCAAAAGGGTTTCACAGACACTTTTGAGTCTTACAAGGTATTCCCCAACGTGATAGGATAAACTTCCGATTGACATTGTGTGACCAATTTTAATCGAAAACAAGAATATAATGAAGAAGACATTGAAAGAGGATTGTTACTTTAGCGGTAAACGGAACGAATTCATCAAACAAATTTGCAACTATTCCGCAGCATATTCAGTTATTCTGTTGATCAAATAGTCAAACTTCAATAAACAATTCAACAACACAAACAACAAACCTCTGAAAAGAAAGTCAACCCATCAACTGAAACGAGTGTCTTGAAGAAGGCAGCTAGTTATTGACCAGCAGAAGGAAGACCACCAAAGGATCTGGATAACTAGGATACTGTTTGAAAAGAACTCCGGAACTATTCGAAGAAAGCAGCTTCATATTGACCAAAAGAAGGAAGACCACCAAAGGATTTGGATAAGTAGATTCTGTGAAAGAAGAAATTTTCAGTGTTTAACTGATTTATTTATTTTAAGAAAACCATAAGTTTGCCCTGGTAAAGAGACCAGAGTCCATAGTATTATTTGTTTCTTTTTCAGAGCAACCGTTTGTTTAGGTATCACAGGAGCGTACAGTGAGGAAAGCTAGGAACATCAATCAAAATCAACATGAGTCTACCATACAGTACACCAGATTTGGAAGATGGGTTTGCACCGTCAACCCCTTTTAGGAACCGAATTTTCGACCGACCTTCAGGATCCTCTTCAGCTTTCAATTGGAATCCGGACACTACTTTGCCACCACCGAAGGATAAAGGAAAGGGAAAAGCAAGTGAAATGTGGGATACAACGGAGGAAGACTCAGATGCAGGCGAACCTACACCTCAAGCACACAACTTACCTCCTCTGTCTGGATATGGACTTCACAACACCCAGAATGCAGAAGAGTCAGTGTATAATTGACAACAACAACAACAACCAGTGAATCAAGAACAAGAAGATCAACAACCAATCCCTCAAGTTGCACCAAGAATTATCAAAGAACCTGGACTTTTTTACGATGGTGAAAACTTTGGGAAGTTCTTGATGCGGTTTGAAAGAGCGGCTAGGGCGTTTAATGCAAGCAACTACGATAAAGCATTACAAATCGGGCGATTCATGAAGACAGAGGAGCTTAAAACTCAACTAGAAGCCATGAACGGGTATGAGAAATGTGAATGGAGAAAATTACGAAAGGAGATGGTCGAAACCTGGGGAGAATTGGACAATACGATCCTGTACACCTGCAATGACCTGGTTAAGGTTGCGAAAGAATTCGGAGTAAATGGAGGAATCAAGGATCATAGGGAATTCAAATCTTACTTAGGAAAATTCACCACCATTCTCAAGTACCTAGTAACCAATAAACAAATTCATCAGAAATCAGACGCCGCAATACTATTTCTGAGCGCATTTTCCCGCGAAAGTCAATCGAATATCAAATGCACCTTAATCAGTTACGATTTACTTCCAAAAGGACCGGACGGCAGCAACTTACCTCCACGCTGGGAAGACTTGGTCGAAGCATCACGACTGGAAGTGCGGATTGTGGAACCTGGATATTTTAACATCTTGGGATTTAGCGAAGCAAATCAATTAATGCAGAACAAACTAAATGCTCAGAAAGGAAATAGTCAACGAAGAGATCAGATGATTGCGGAAGCACCTACGGGCCAAGCCATGGACAAACAAGTGGAAGATATGGCACGAGAAATTGCCTCGCTCAAGTCTCAGTTAAAAAGCATAATACCTGCATCCTACCATCAAGCTGGATCAAATGAAAAATCGGAATTCTCTAGAGGTAATGCTAGGCCTTCAACACCCTTGTATGAAACCCAAAGTTGTTACTACTGTAAGAAAGAGGGACACGGAACCTACCGGTGTCAAGAACTCTTAAAAGACGAAGAACAAGGATTAGTCAGGCGTAACGGGAAGGATTGGTACTTACCAAATGGACAACACATACCTTGGAACCCTACAAGACCTATCCGTACTGTAGTAGCAACGGCATCAGCAGACCCGCAAATGCAAGAGGCTGCAAGGAAATTAGCTGAATCCCTTAAATCTGGAGAAACCCAGGCACCCACTACCATGAAGTCATCTGCTCAAACCATTGATTGGGATCCACCACAATTGGGTGCAGAAAACTTTCTAGCCAACCATGCTATTACTCGGTCGGAAGGCCAACGAGGGAGACGCAGTGTTCGGATTCAAGAACCAGAGAAAGATGATATGGACGTGGATCAAGAAGACGAGCTCGCCGAAATTACGGAAGAAACACCTAAAACTCCGGTGGTAGAGAAAGTGTGGAGTAAAGAGAAGCCAGTTAATAAAAAGGCTGCAACACCAGAAGAAGCTCTGTTGCAGGAGTTAGACCATTTGAAAATTCCAACAACTTTTGCACAACTCACTGCTATTTCACCAACCTACACGGAGCAAATAATTGCAAAACTTCAGAACCGACTCCCAGGAAAGAGTAGTGCGACATATATTACTACGGAAACCGCAAAAGTCTCGGCAGCTATGACTACTCCAGAGGTGGAAGACCCGACGGACCCTTGCTACTATAGCTGTGCCCTAGGATACGTAACAGCCGAAGTTGGGGGAGCTAGCGTGGAATTTATGGTAGATTCAGGATCCATGGTAAATGTTATGCCTCGATCAGTAGCAGAAGACCTGGACTTGGAGCTAGTACAAGTAGACATACCAATGAAAGGAGTTGGGGGAGCAAGGTGTGACCTAAATGGGGTAGCTGAAAATTGCCCAGTTGGAATTGGAAGATTCTCCGGACCAGCACACCTGTTTGTTTCACCCAAGGCTCAGGACTGTATTTTAGGACGACCATTCTTATTCGACTATGGATGCACTCTGGAATATCATGAAAATGGTGAAACTCTGTCTTTCCAAGGAACAAAGGGACGAAGGGTATCAGTACCATTAGCAAGAACGGACCAAGGAAGAGGATGGAACAACAAGAAAGATCTCAGTACCAACAGTATGAAGATGCAGGACGGGAATATACCGCCAAACAAAGACAATCGAATGTTCACGAATTCTTCAAAGCAGTCTTTTTTATGAAATCCGGTGTTCAACTAAGGGATTACTCACTTAAGCTAGTTGAGCGAGGTATATCGAGAACACCGGGTTTTCTAGACTGGCTCAAAACTTTTCTTTTGGATTTATTTAAAAAACTACCAAAACAAACAAAAATATATTTTGCAAAGGTAATGTTATTAAAAAAGAACATTCTGATTATTTTACTTTTACTTTTGAGAATTTGTAAAGCAGGTGCGGTCCAACTGCAAAAACTCAGGACAAATACGATTCAAGACCCACCAAAATTGAATTTTACGCAGGCAGAAATTTTCAGAAAACCCACCTCAACAATTGAATCCAAACCAACGGAACCACTTGGCTACATGGATATACCAGATCAGGCGGAGCAATCAAAACTATCCGAGAAAAAGGCTTTACAGACTCAAGATTTCCATCTTCCAGAAATAGAAGAAAACCCTCAAAAATTTCCCATAAAATCAAAAATCAGCTGGATTCAAGATATCACCAAGTTCAAAGACAAAATTTTCAGTAAACATCTTTTCAAACCTCATTTGGATTTATCCAACAATTCAAAAATCAACTACATTTATACTCAACAACCCAATATCAATAAGTATACCAACCCTGCAGAACAGAAGGAGTATCACATCAGTATTTCTGGCTTGAACAAAATCAAAAATTTCAAAACACTCAGCCGACCTACCTCAACTAAATCTACTACATCATCAGTTCAACTTTTGCCAATTATTGAAGACAAAATCAATATTCCACCTGCACCGGTTCCACCAGACATCAAAGAAACATGGTGGGACTCACCAAACAATCTAGAAAATAAAAATATTAAATCCAGAAGTAATTCAGAAAGATCAATCAACAATCACTCTCAAATTGACTTGAAAACAAAATATTACTGGATCTTACTTTATTCACTTAAGAAACCCTTTTCTCAACTTTACCCCAAACCAGAACTCTCAGAACATCTATATCAAAATTTCAGGCTCCCAAGAAAACTTGTGGGAGTGGGTTGATTTTTTTTCAAACATCTAACCCCAAACAATCAAGAATATCACATCAGTTCAAATTCTAAATTTCCACAGTCAAAACTTTTTTTAAGTTGGGGGAGAAAAATTTCATACTTCACTCACATTATCACTGTCCCCAGTTTATCCCATCTCATTATCCTTAAGTTTCTTTTATCCAAAACACACCTTGACATATTTTTTTTATCTTATATCCATTTTTTTTGGAGTCTTGACTTTTTTTCTGTTTTAGTTTTTTTTTACTCAAGCTCTTTTCTGAAATTTTCCTTTTCCTCTTTGATTCACTTCAACTCATCAACTTCATCAGAACTATTGGGTTGAAGGTTGAGGACAACCTCATAAGTTGGGGGAGGGGTGCAGTTTATCATCTTCCTTGATTTTTTTTTTTCAAAAGTTTTATTTCATTTTTTCATTCACCTTCTCCAATCAATCAGGATAGTAGTGAACAGATCGCGAAATGGGCATGAAGGAGTTCTAGTACTTTACAGGCTAATCGCGAATCACTTTAGATCAGTAGCCACTTGGACCTTTATCTTTTTTGCTTGGATCATTGACTAGAACACCGAACACAACCAGAATTAGTTTAGAAAGCTCGGCATAAAGTAAAACACACTTCACACACTAATCGCGAAGGGAGTCTGAAGGACTGGGAGTCTTGAAGATTGGTGGAGACTCAGTTGGATGGAGGACACAACACTCTTGGATGCGACTCGGGCACAGCCTCTAGATTTTGCTTGGACCAATGATGTAGCTCCAGAACAGCGACAAGGACAATCGGTCATGATGTATTAGCTTTAGGAAGATGATGGAATAACTAAAACAGAAGGAAAAGATAAGGAACAACTTTTAAGAAGAGTGGACGCGACTGAGTACTTTGGAAAGATAGGATCAACATAAATACTGTATAAATCAATCAACTACTCGCGAATTGATGACAAGGATGTATCAACAACAATGACTAGGACAACACGATATGATTTACTTACTCGGATGGCCCAGCTTTATGGAAACAAGCAAACAGCTATATTAACCAATCGCGAATGAATTCACGAAGGCCTGGAAGTATTGTAGACTGGATGCGACCTGATTGTAACCTTTAGATTTGACTTGGATTGATGATATAGCTTGAGGAGAACAAAGGGATCCTTATTGATAAGCGAACACGACCCGATGAGATCACCATCAATTACTTTGTTGAAAAGATAGGATCAGCTGAAACGATCAATAAAACAAGCAGCACTCCTTTGACTACCCTCGGATCTAGAACCACAAGAGAAATCAAAACAGCAATCATAGTCAAAACACAACCAAAAAGATCAATTCAAAGAGAAGAGATCAATCAAGTGAAGAAAAGAAGGAGGAGCGATGATGGGGAAAGTTGATTCTGGATGATGGAAGACCAGTATTTATAGGCAACAATGGAACCCTGAGACGCAATCAAACTCACGGATTTACTAAAGAAATCTAGCAGGAAGTAGAAGATTCACGAAGTGGCGGGTTGATCGAGTCGAGTCAAGTGGAAGTCCAAGATAGGGGATTGAACAAGAAGGGACTAGTGCGACATGTCTTCTTGGTATTGTTTGATCAAACGGTAGTAGGAGCGAGGCAGCGTCAGTTTGAAGCTCGTGACCGCGTCAGCAAGCAAGATCAAGCTAGAAGAGTACCCAACATAGAGCAGAGACATATAAAGGGGTGCTGTCTAGAGTCAAGAGGCTGTCAGACTGGATCAAACTAGACTAGAAGAATAAAGAAACCAAATCAACTCACCTGGCAAGATGGATAAACGAGTCGGTCGAGTTGGGGCGGAATCGAATTAGAGATGGGTTAACGGTGTCGCAGGTCATTCGAGTGGTGGCAGTATTGAGGTCCATAGACATGCGCGCTGGGTAGAAGATAAGAACCTGCCAGATCAAAACGAACTAGAAGAAGAAAGAGGGAACGAAAAATGTACTTACTGTCAAGATGGATACGCCATCGGTCGAGTTACGCGGTCAAAGTCGAGATCCAGTGGCGGTCAGTCGGATGCGAGTAAGAGAGGGAGTGACGGATCGACCAGTAACACGGATACCCACAGAGAGGTGGATCTGCGGCGGGGAGAGGGCACGCATATCTCCGATCGGGTCCTGTCACACCTGTGACAGGACTAATACAGCTTGGACAAGGGCGCTATTTGAATTTCAATCCAACTGTCACTTCAACATCTCCTCTAGTCGAGTTGGGAAGCACCCCCCCCCGCCACCAACTGCTTACCTGGGTTCAATTCCCTGTCTGCACCCAATCAGAATGCTCTGCACCTTCACCAGGCTGCTATCTTTTTGGGGGTCTCATCAGGACAAGTCAGATATCAAAAATTTATATAGTTTTTTTTCTTTGCAAAACTATATTTACAGTTCCCCAAATGTTTATCAATCAAGGAATCAATTACACAATTCGGGATTTTTTCTCAGTCCTAAGTGCTCCCAAGGATAAAGAACCATTAAAATCCAAATAAAACATATTTTTCTACAGTCAAATTTTCCTCTGGCCATTCTACAACTCAACACCACTCAAGCCAATAACATACACAGAAGGCTGGGTTTCTTTCAAAGTTGTTTTTTTCTGTAAGATTAGCTCCAAAACACAGTCAAAATCAGAATTGACTGGGGACAGCCAATAAGTTGGGGGAGGATGTGGTAAATAATACTGTGTTTCTACGCAGAAAATATAAAAATTTATTATTATCTCTTTATATATTATATATATGGTAAAAATAACATCAGAAACGGATTTCTCAGGTAAAATTACCCCTAGTCACCCACTATAACTGACCCCATATCTCTCATAGTTTAGAAGTTACACAGATTTCAACCTGTCACGGGATGTCTCTTGGATTCTTTACTCTCAGTGTGGCTTGTTTTGAATACTGGATGCATACTGAATATTGAATTCCTTTGGGTTGTATTGAATTCCTTTATTGGCACATAGTGCATATTGAATTCCTTTGTAGGTGCACATGCATTCCTTTGTAGTAGGACCTTGTAGGCTAGCCAAATTCCCTCAAGGCAGTGCTCTCACCAGCCAATATCCCTCACCTGCATGTACTAGACTAGCTAAAATCCCTCATTGGATCTTCAGGCCAGCTAAAATGCCTCAAAAGCCTGTACCCTGGGGCTAAAATCCCTCACATTTGTCTATATAAGGAGGCCTCTGCCTGCCAGTTGTTCCCTCCATCATCCCACCAGTGGACCAGATCATCTCAACCACCCTTACAGATTATATACAAGTGACAGCCATAACAACACATTATATTGAAATACAACCATAACACTTTCATCATCATAACAAGTGCCAAGTGCCCATAACCTGCCTCACATACCATTACTGGTTGAAGCATAGCGCTCCCAGAGCTCCAAGCCTTGGTATTAAAGCTTTGAACAACAGCTTCATCAATATAATCATCACTCATTTATAACTTCAGACCCTTATAAACATCACTCGGAAGTTTCATCTTGAACTATCCTCTATCACGATAAATATAACTGCCAAGCTAAGCTTGGTGGTCTTGTTGTTCTGATAGCATAGAAGGGCAGAGCTTGCAACTCCATCATCCCCTTCTCCATTCAGCAAAAGGGTTTCACAACCACTTTTGAGTCTTACAACGCTTCACCCACTTGGGTTATAGCCTTATTGGCTTGAGCTAATTTTCCAAGCAGGCCAACACTCGGCAAATTTACACAAGTCTGTGTTGCCAGAACAGGCCAAGGATGACCCTCTGCAGTGCAAAGGATTTGACCGAAAGCGTCACAATCGTGCAATCTGCTGGCCTGCGGGGTCTCAGGCTTCCCAAAGATCCTTAAGAGGCAAGTCATCTGTTGGTCAGGTTTCTCCTCCATCTCGCACTTGACCACTCACCTCCAATCTTGTGTATAATTTTTTCAGCTGTTAACCCAAATTTCAACATCAACATCAATCAAATTTTTCTTTCAACATGTCAGACTAGTGTTTTCATCAGACGTATGGGCGCCCAATGATGTCTACCTGTCTACCTGGTATAGGGGAGAGGTAGACCAGGTAGACCATTGGTCATTGGGCCTTTGCCTGATTTTTTGAGAATTATTTCCTGAGGTAGACTTTGATCCAGCCCAGGTAGAAAAATAATACAAAAAATGTGGCTGGTTGATGTATCTAGACTGTGTAATTGTTATTTTGCATGATGTGTTGATGTATTCGGACTATTTAGTTTTAAATTTCCATGATATGAACTGCAACCAGGTAGGAAACCAAGCTGTACCAATACAGAAATATTAATTCTCCATGATATGACAAGCAACCAATTGAAAGTTTAAGCCATAAAAATCACAAATGAGTCAGTAAGATTAAGTAGGAAGTGGACTTAGATTCTACCTGGATAACTGATGCCTCCAGGTTGAAATTGATTTGTGAGAAAGGGGCTAACAAGAGCATATAATTTGTAGAGTATCTGCCTATCTTGATAAGTAAAAGGAAAAATAAAGCAATGTGTTCAAAGGATGTCCCAAAAAAGCTATTTACCTAGTGGTGAATTACTTTGAGAAGGAGGTCAGAGTACCGATTTGGGCTCACTGGTGGTTGAGCAGGCACCAAAATCACTGCAGCATTGGTGGAAAAAAGAATACATGTCAATCTGAATTGGTTGAAAAAAAGTACATTGACTCAGGGGTGAAAGTCATTGAGAGGGAGGTTCCAGTGAAGTTTTGGGTGGATTGTATGTCCTCCCAAGGTGCACTCTCTCAATTCACCAAACAATTTATTTTCCGAGAAGTTCTTGGAACAAGAACAGGTGTGTCCTCAGCTGCCTTCTTCCACTGAGACTATTCTTTCTTACCAATTATTTATTCTTGTGAGTTTCTCTCCTCAGTTAATTATCTCTCTTTGGTGTCCTTTTCTCTGATGGTCTTTTTTCCTTTTTCTAAGCTCTACCGAGACAAAGATATTAATTATCCATGATATGACAAGCAACCAATTAACAGTTTAAGCCATAAAAATTACAAATGAGCAAGTAAGATGAAGTAGGCAGTGGAATTAGATTTTACCTTGATAAGTGACAGCTCCAGGTTGAAATATAATTGCAAGAAAGTGGCTAGTAAGAGCATATAATTTGTAGAGTATCTTTCTATCTTGAAAAGTAAATGGGAAAAATAAAGCAATGTGTTCAAAGGAGGCAACACAAAAGCTGTTGACCTAGTGGTGAAGCACTTTGAAAAGGAGGTCAGAGTGTCTTTTTGGGCTCACTGGGTGAGCAGGCACCAATTGCAAAACAGAATTGGTGGCAAAAACCAAGAGGAAGTTGTAGATAATTTTTTGCCATAGCTCACAATTCTGCCAGTCCATCTGAAATAGCTGAAAAAAGTGTATTGACCTGGAGGTGAAAGTATTTGAAAGAGAGGTTCCAGTGAGTATTTGTTTGAGTTGTATGTGCTCCAGAGGGTACATTCTCTCAATGCACCAAAGCATTATTTTTATAGAAGTCCTTGTAACAAGAACAGGTATGTCATGGTGTCAGATTGTTGAGTTAACACCCACCTTCTCCTACTGGGAGTTTTATTTCTTACCAATTATTTATTCTCGTGAGGAGTCATTTCTTACCAATTATTTATTCTTGTGAGTTTCTCTCCCCAGTTAATTTTCTCTCTGGTTTCGCTTTATCTAATTTTTTCCATCTTTTCCTGCATCAATATTTATGAATTTGATCCTATTCATGTCCTTGATTGGTGAGTATGTTTCAAAAGCACTGAGGAATTGAGCGGGGAAAGTGACAAAAAAACCCATTGACCTAGAGGTGACAGGATTTGACAGGGAGGTCCTAGTAATTTTTGGCTGAGTTGTATTTTCTCCAGAAGGCACGCTGTGGGATTTGAGGAAACAGTATGGTTGATAATTTTCCTACAAGTTATTGGCAAAAGGGCAGCTGTGTAAGATCAGTGAGTCATGTCATGACTTCTTCTTCATCTCTCTTTCTAATTTTTTTATTGTGAACTGAACCCCTCAATTAGTTGCCTCTCTATCACATCACATTCCATGATTGTCTTTATCCATCATTAATAATGTAATATCCATGATATTAATTCTGTCAATCCCAAATACACAACAAATATAGCTGTCTTTCTTAAATATGATTAAACAGTCACATAATCAGGGGAAGAATTGGTTAACCTTCCTGATTGATTATTTTTCTTTATTCTTCATTGTCATGATTATTTATTATCTTAACCCAGTCAATAAATCATCTATTACTTGACAATGCATGTGAGTGTTTTACTTGTTGTCTTGGTTGTTGATTGTCTTTCTTTGTGACCTGTTAATGAGATCAGCGGTGGGCCGCTACGCTACGCTACGCTTTTGGCCCAAAAAGCGTAGCGTAGCGGCGCTTTTTTTTCATCCAAAAGCGGTAGTGTTAGCGTTTTTGTAGCGGTTTTTCGCTGCGCTACAGCGCTTTTAGCGGAAAAAGCGGCCAAAAACCGCTAAAAAGCGCTGTAGCGCAGCGTAGTGGGCCCTTTTTTGCGGCCCACACGCGTAGCGTTAGCGGTGTCGTGGCGGAATCCCGCTACGCTACGCTAAAGTTGCGTGGAATTCCGCTACGTTACGCTGCGCTAACCGCTACGGTTAGCGTAGCTGGCCCAGCGTTGATGAGATGTATATATTTATCCCTGGTTTTGAAGTCTTGTTCATGTGTAATTTTACAAAAAGACATTGAAGATACATTATTTTGCATTGTAGTTCCTACTGCTAAAAACCACACACAATAATTGCGTGTGAAGCCCAAGGTGAGTGCTTGTGCAAACAACATTCAAGTGCTTGTAAAAATCACAGACAAGTACGTGGAAAACTCACACAGAAATATTATCAAAAACCCACAGACAAGTGCTTGTACAAACCACATGGGAATATTTGAAAACCATCTGATCTATGACTCACTTTATTCTTTTTGAATATTTAACGGATAAGAATATGATATATATGATATCTGTGATTTATTGTCTTTCCGTCTTATACTACATTAATTCCAAGGGCCATGCTGGCTGGGACTCTATTCCAGACAGCAGTGTTTCTCTAT